AGGCCAGGCTGGATTGGGCTTGGAGCAACCTGGGCTAGTGGGAGGTGTCCCTGCCCATGGCAGGGGGTAGAACGAGATGATCTCTAAGTCCCTTCCCACCCAAACCATTCCATGATTTTGTGACCACAGCACAGCTGGAATAACATACCCAGGAGAGGCAGAAGCGATCCCACATGTAACTACTGCACTCAGAAGGGGTTTCAAAGACATAATGAACTCAGGCTTAATTAGCAAATTCTGACCTCAAGTCTCTCCCCAAAACACTGTGTCTAAACTGTGTGTGCACTGGACACAACCCCTCTCCTTGGGCAGTCACACCCTAGCCCGGAGCGCCCAGAGGTGGTTCTGTGGTGGCACAGCTCGTGGTCCTTACCGATGCTGAGCGTGGTGTACTCGTAGGGGTCCGAGAGGAAGTGTGGCAGGGTCACCAGGAAGGCCCCCAGCGCCAGCAGCAGCCCCCCCACGCCGATCACCCGCGGGCGGTGCACGCGGCTGCCAAAGTAGCTGACGAAGATGATGAGGACCACGTTGCCGATCTGGAAGTGTCAGAAGACATCACAGAGGGCGTTAAGACCTTATAACTGTGCCCAGTTGGGTGGAGAGCTCTGTTACCTGGTGGTGTTTGACAGAGCAGGAGCGGTGCAGCCTTCACTCTGCACGCTCACAGCGAGTCAGTGCTCCCTTCTCACCTAAAACCAGCAGGGCACCTCCTTGGCTTCTGCCACCTCTGTGCATCCCTTGTTGTCATGAACAACTTCACGGCCTCCCTGTGGTCTGCATGGGGTTTCTTTCAGTACCCACAGCTGTCCCCCACCCCACAGGAATCACAGAATCGTTAAAGTTGGAAAAGCCTTCTAAGATCATCAAGTCCAATCATTCACAGTGCTGCCAAGGCCACCACTAACTCATGTCCCCAGCTGCCACATCCACATGGCTTTTAAATCCCTCCAGGGGTGGGGACTCCACCACTGCCCTGGGCAGCTGTGCCAGGGCTGGACAACCCTTTCCAGGAAGGAATTTTCCCCCATATACAAACTAAACCTTCCCTGGCACAACTTGAGGCCATTTCCTCCTCTCCTGTCACTTGTTACCTGGGAGAAGCGTGACACAAACTATTTCCTACAAAACACATCAAGAAATGAAGGGTGTTGCCTCCATTCCTATGACTCAAACAGACACAAGCCCAGCTACAAGGTCCAGCTCACTGCAAATATTTGTGACTCTGGACATTTGCAACTGCAGATGCAATCAGCTAAAAAGCCATGAAATCACTCAGCTCACTCAGGCAAGTAGGTGAACACCACAAAATTACCATCCAAGGGCTTTGCCAGCTTGGGACAAACTAGACATGATTTTAACTTTGGCATGTTGGAGCTGTCCCTGCTCATTGTAGGGGGTTGGGTTAGATGGCCTTTAAAGGTCCCTTCCAACACATGATTCTATGTATGGCTAAGAAAACTTTCCATTTATGTTTACATGGGCTTTCTTGCTTGTCTCTCCGTGGTTTTTGTTCTTGGAATTACTGCAGGCACCAATGCAAAAAGATTGTTGTCCCGGACAGGCTTGGAAGTCACAGCCAGTAGGGAGTCTCAGTAGGCTCTGAGACAGTCTTTTTACCCCCAAATGTAGGTGCTGGCTGAGGTAAGACCATTCACTTCCCCAAGGACCTAGGAGGATTCCTAGTGCCCAGATTCCTGATGAAGCACCCCATGTGTTCACCAGGGAGCTCATCAGCAAGGTGAGCTGCCACCAAGCACTTTGTCTCTGAAAGCAAAATAAAGTCTCCCCCCGCACGTCTTTTCCTAGTTGGCCTTGAGGAGCTACCAGGAAGGATACAATTCCTGACAATCTGAATGTGCAAACTTATTCCAGAGGAGTTATTGACTGGAAAGGGTTTGTGAGGAAATCCTCAGCCAGCTCAGCAACTTGCCTTAAACTGTGACAGAGGGTGGGGTTAGATGGGATATTGGGAAGAAATATGAGGGTGGGGAGGCCCTGGCACAGGTTGCCCAGAGAAGCTGTGGTTGCCCCAGCCCTGGAAGTGTCCAAGGCCGGGTTGGACGGGGCTTGGAGCAACGTGGGCTAGTGCACATGGCAGGGGTTGGAACTGGATGAACTTTAAGGTCCCTTCCAACCCAAACCATTCTGGGATTCTATATCCAGTGAAAGTCAGCTCTTGGCCACAGGGCCATCACCACATAACCCTACATTCACCCTCCTGGCAGGTGGTAGAGCGGAAGTGAAGTGTGAAGAGGTGTCCAAGTGCACAACAACAGCTGCTTCATCCAGCACACGTGGGCATGGCCAAGGAAGCACTGGGTGTGAACAACCCTGACAGTCTATTTTGGGAAGGTGCCCCCCGTGTTCTGGCCACTCCCAGTTACCTCATGCAAGCTGGAGATGAAACCTGAAGAGAGACTGGAGAGCCCAAAGCGCTTCTCGATGGTGGTGAGGCTGCTCTTGAAGTTGGCACTGTAGAGGAGCTGGGAGAGCTGGAGAAGCCCGTGGCACAGCACAAACACCTGGGGGCAAACAAAATGTGCCATGCCAGTGAGAACCCTGTCAGAATCATAAGCTCAATAATGTTGGAAAAAATCTCCAAGATCATCAAGCCCAACCTTTGACCAAGAACCACCATGGCCACTAAACCATATGGCAAAGTGCCATGTCTACTTGTTTTTTGATGACTTCCAGGGATGGTGACTCCACCACTTCCCTGGACAGCCCATTCCAATGATTAACCACTCTTCCAGTGAAGAAATTGTCTCTAATATCCAATCTGAACCTCTCCATGCACCACTGGAGGCCGTTTGAGGCCGTAGTGCCCGGCTGCTTCTGCATGACTGCTGGTGATCACACCCTGCGGGAGTGGACTCGAGTTGGCTGTGGTCAACGGCTGCACCTCTGACGTGGAACATCCTTGGGTTCACTCAGCTGTAAAGTCCATTAACAGACCCTGCTCCAAGGGCTGTTACTAGAAAAAGTTGCAAAAGGGCTTTAAAATCCCCAGAGGGAAAGGATGAAATATGCACATGGTCTCACTACTGGAAGACCTTTGTAGTATTCCAAAAACAGCATCTTCCCTTGAGCCAGGCTGTGAGCAGGGCCAGGAGCAGAGCTGCATGGAGGCAGAGGAGGGAAAATAGAGAGAGTTTAGGGGGCAGGGCAGAAATCTTGTCCAAAGAACCCGGGTGGCCTGTGAGAGGAAGGCGCTCTCAGTCGGGGATGCAAGAGGCAGCTCACCAGTGTCTTTTGATCTATATTTAGGCAGAACAGTTTTCCTTTATTTTTCTTGGAATGAAATGCCTCTACACGATGCCAAAAGTATTTCAGAATCGTTAAAAAAAAAAAGAAAAAAATAAAACAAAAAAAAGGAAAAGGTCTTTTTTTTTTTAAATTCATAGGAAATCAAATATTTGCTGAATACCGGAAGAGTGTCCCACAAAGATAACGGCGGGAAGTGCGGGATGATGGATGGGGGATCAAAGGTACTGCAGGGCTGACAAATTCCTGATGTCCTTGGCCAGGAGAGCAGGGATACTCCTTATTTGGAAGGGTGGTAGCACCCAGGAGCCCTGACCCCTTAAGTGATGAAAAAAAAAATAAATCAAAAAAGACCAAAATTGTCCACCCAACATGGAGGATGCAAATTCCACAGGTGGGTGGAGTGGTGTTTTGGGGAGCAGAGGAGGATGCCAGGTCCAGCAAATGTGGCAGAATTTGGGTAGAAGGTGGGTAAGAAGATGGTTTCTTTGGAAGCTTCTCCTGCAAGGGAGGAGAGCTCCAGCCAGAAGACCCGGCTGGGTATCTAAAAGCATTAAGGGATAGGAGAGATGCTGACAGACAGGAGGACACAAGAGGATGGAGATGAAGGGAAGGAGAAAATGTAGTCCTGACAGTGCAAAGGCAGGTTGGGAACAAACCTGGAGACAACAGGAAAGTCAAAGGAGACAGGCAAACACCCCAAAAATGAGGAAAGAAGTCTCACAGGGACAGGCTGCCACCACAGACTTCCCAGCCACATCTCAGAGGGGTGACAGCAGACAGGCTGGTACCTGGCTGGCGTCTGGCTGGCGTCTGGCTGGCATCTGGCTGGCATCTGGCTGCCTGGTAACCAGGCAGGAGGGAACAAATTCCCAGGCTGGGACTTTGCCCTGACAAAAAGCCACAGAGCAGTGACATGGGTGTAACGTGGGAAATCCTCCCAGAAAGGGATAAAGTGGAAGTGAAATATCTCCAGTGAACTCTTGAAGCAGAATGACCTCTCCACCCTCTAGCTATCAACTCCCACGCTCAAAACCCCATCCCAGCACACGGTCCTGCGGGTGGTAGCTGGATCCACCACCTTCCCCTTCTCCAGCCCTGAGCTGGGATCACCATGGGCTGGTCTGGAGCAGAGAGGTGACTCCTGCAAGGATGGGAACTGGAGGAGGGATCTTGTTGCCTGAGAACATTAATTTTTGTTCCTGCAGCTCTGGCCAGACCCTGCTGAAGTCTCTGGAGTAAAGAAGCACCAGCTAAACAGTGGCAGGGACCTCCTGAGCTGCAGAGCAGCTGGAGGCAGAGCTCTCCCAGCGTGAGGCGTCAGTCGCAGAGGCAGAGCTGTTTACCAACAGGGAGGGAAGAGGGTGGATCACCCAGGCCGAATTTAGTGCAGCAAATGTCAGCCCAATCCCAGGGCAGATGGAGAGATGAAGTGTTGGAGAGAGAGAGAATGGAAGGATGGAAGGGAAGATGAGGAGGAAAGGCAGCCTGACATCCCAGAATGCTGGAGCTGGAAGGTGATGGGGAGAAGATGGAGGTATGGAAGGACCATGGGAACCACAGCAGGAAAGGAGAGGGACAAGCCATGGTCAGAGAGGGCAGGGGGGAGAAGGCAGATCTGGCAGGAAACAAACCAAGATGTGTTTATGCCTTGGTGATAACCTGGGCATGGACGAAATGGAGCCCTGGATCCTGAGGTGCCTGGGAGCAAGTTGGGGCTGCCTGCTCCCCATCCCACGAGGGAAGGCAAGGTGGGAGAAATGCAGCTGGAGAGCATCCATGAAGGGAGAGGAATATTTTGGGCGTGGCTGCTTCCCCCTAGCCATGAGTCCTTCTAATCTGGCTCCTGCGAGTGGAGTTAACCGGAAAGGCAGCAGAGCCAGAAGGATGCTCCAGGGATCCATCCCACCCTGAGACCACACAGCAGCCTCGGCCCTTGGATGTGGAGAGGCCTGAGGATGGGATGGGAAGGGCAGGGGAGATTTTTTTTCCTTGGGAAGAAGCTGCTACCCAGAACAGTTGGAGCAAAGCAAAACAGCCTTTGCTCTGGGACTTGTGCAGCTGGAGCTTGGCTTTCCCAGACACACTCCGACTCTCTGGAGGTGAGAGCTGTGCCTGATTTAAGACTTCCCCTGCACTCAGCAGACTCAGTTTTAATTAAAACAATGACAGCCCAAACTTTGAAGGCTCTGAGTGGAAATAGTTGGGAGAGGTGATTACTTGGAGGGCTCCCCAAAAGGAGCCTGTGAACGCCCTGAGTCTGGTGGAGATGGGGGCACCACTCTCCCGGATCCCCCTGAAGGTCCTCAAGGGTCTTTCCCATCCCTGTCCTTCTCCCCACGCTTTCCCATCCCCACGTGTTCATGCTGACCACCCACAACTCGTTGGTCCATGGAAATCAGCCCCGACCTGGCCCTTCCAGCTGCAGAGCAGTGGATGTGCTGCGCTGACCCCACGCACCCGCCGAGTGGCCCTGGGAGGGGACGGAGCTGCCACAATCCATCCTCCCTAATGACAGAAAGGGGCTTTTAAGGAAGAGCCGAGCTCGTTTGCCGGGAGGTTTCGCTGAAGCAAAGCCAAGGCGAGGGTGAAGGCACGGTGAGAGGTTAAGGAGCCGGGGACACTCCCAAGTGCTGACCCTCCAGAGCAGATGCTCCCATGAGAGCCTGGCGGATTTTGGAGGCTGCAGGCTAGGAGCAATCGCAGACAGCCAGGGAGCAGCACAGAGAGGCGAAAGGCATGTACCCACATGCATCCACACACAAAATCCCCTCTTGATCATCCCCACACTTCCTTCGGAGCGCCGAAGAAATCCTGACTCCAGGCTGTTTACACAAGACACTTGACTCCTTTCCAAGATGAGCTTCGTTTAGAAAGGAAACAAACTCCTGGGGAAGGTCCCTGGCAGACAGGCTGTTCCCCCCACCCAGCTCGTGGGCACCAGCACCTCCCAGGGCAGTGCTTTTTCTAAAGGAAGATAAACCCACCCTACTGCAGGGAACAGAGGGGACTGGTCCTTCCATGCTCTGGACAAGGAGAGCTGGCAACGATTCGGTCAATCCCAACCCAAGCCTCCTTCAGAGAAGATGCGTCCAACAAATATTTAGATTTCCTTTCATTTCAAAGTGAAATGAAGGTGAAACACCTCTGTGGAGCCTCAAGGAGCCAGGAGACTCCTCCAGGAGCCAGGAGAAAACCCTTCCAGGTGGGAGCCTGGCTGTGCTCTGCAGGGACCAAGGGTTTGGGAAGATGCTGCTACCTGCAGCATGGTTACTGTTCCTTTCTCTCTGCCACCTGGAGGAGGGAGTTAAGGGTTAATTCCTTGCTCTGCTTCCCCAGTTCATGTCCAAAGTCATCTCTTGCCTCATTTTTCAGTGTCTTCCCCTTGGCAGGCCTGGTTGGAGATAAAAAAGGTATAAATGCTGTTGACACTGGTGCTAATCCCTGTGCCCAACAGCCTTTCCACAGCAGTGTGGATGGAAAGAGCTAGGGCTTTGTTAGATGGACACATGGACTGCCTGGGGAGCAAAGTCCCTCACAGTCCCAGGTGACTGATGACACCGAGGTAGGACATTGCCCAGAGCAAAATTAATCTGGCTGGAGTAAACCTTGGAAAAGAACTAGGAACAAGGATGCTCTGTTAGCTCTTTCCCTACACATGGCACTACTGGAGTTGCATTTTAGGCTCCAGAGAGCCTAAAATTGTTTCACTGTGGTGGAAAGTCAGGAGGCATTCCTCCCAAAGCAGGAGACCCCAACTTGCCCACATCTGAAGGCTCCTCCCACTTTAATCTCCTAAACTTCCAAGAGACAAAAAAAAAAAAAAAAAAGGGAGGGGGGAACTGTAGGAATTAATAAGAATACCCCCAAAATTTTAAAAGGGAGAAGACAAGCTGTTTATTTTAGAGCTTGTATATGATCAACTCTTACTACACTGGGAGACTCTCCTGCAGTAGGACAGCTGAGAACACTCAGTCCAAAAGAAATATATCAGCTGGAAAGGGAAAGAACAGGGAAATGCATCCCTTCTCGGCATCGCTTTCCTATGGGCAGCTGCCTGGATTTAGAGATCTAAAAGCACCATGAAAGATGAAAAAAAAAAAAGCAACATTCCCACAGAAGGAACCAAATAGCCAGCACACAGACTGTCCCGCAGCACAGAATCTCTGGGCTCAGCCAAGTGGCAGAAGTTGGCTCCCAAATGTTATTTCTACTGCAAATAATAAAAGAATACAAAAATTAAACTGATCAGGGATTG